AGGGCATTGCAAACTAGGATTTGCACATAAATTCTTCTAAGTAATAAATTGATATTAATATACTACAGCCATTTTCTATCTGCATCATATGTGTGTATCATGCAAAATTAATATATATGTAACTACCCCTGATATGTTACCTGCATACCCTTGTTCCAAAACACATAAGGATTTACATGGTCATCTGCCTCTCTATCCTGGTTTTTCGTTTATTTGTTTGTTTGATTGTTCATTTGTTTGTTTTGTTGTTTTGAAGCATTAGTGCTTGGTGGTTGTGTTTGATGTTCAGACATACACAGCTTTGCCTTATTATTTTTAAAAGCAAATTTTCTTTAGCTTCTAATTATAGGCCCCCATTGGTTTGACAGTTGTGTTGGAGATTTTTAGACATTAGTATATTTCTAAAAACAGATAATGGTGGTCCATGTAAGGGGCATTGAGGTCTCTCTCTGGTCTTGTCCATTCATTATTCAACAAATGAAAAGTATTTTCATTAGGAATCTCTCCAATCATGAGATAATATGGTCAGCATGATAGAAAATATCTCTTTGAACTCAAAGAGAGTTTCCATTCTCTTGAAAGGGATAAAAGGCTGGGATAGATGGCAACATAATTCGACTTGTTTTGATAATTATAATAAGGAAAACCAGGAAAGAGGGGAGCCATGACTAATGGTGAACTGTCTGACTATCAAGGAGACTACTCAATGGAGGATCAGCCCGGAGGATAAGCAAAGGTCATCCAACAACAAAGGAGGAAATAGACTTCAAGTAGATAGAACAACCCCCTCAAAGACCTCCAAGTGTGAGTTTGTGATGTGAGGGGAACAGAGTTATGTCTGGGGTATGAATGAATGGGAATGGGAAGTAGACAATGTGAAGTCAATTGTTATCTGACTGACCAGTACTAGATTTCATTTTAAGAGCATTAAGAGGACAATTCAGGACTGTGTGTGTAGGGGGGGGGGTATTTTTGTCATTGCTGCTGTTTCCAAAGAATCCAAAGAGAATTTTTGGCTGATGATACAGCTCTCATACCCTCTATCCCTAACAGCACCCCACCCCATAGTCTCTGTCCTGTCACTGTGGTTGCTTGTCTGTCCTCTCTACACTCAGCTCTCCCTGTTCAGTTCCTTCACGTTTTCTAACAAGCAAAACTGTAGATAACCAGTAATTCTTGGCTTTCATTCATTACTCTTTCCTGTCTCTCATTCAGATACTTGAATCCCATCACCTACCCCTTCCTACCATCTATCTCTTGCCTCAATTCTCTATTTTCCACAAAATCGTTGAAGGGTCTTTAACGCCTTTCTCTTATTCCATCATGACTAAAGGCCTTGGTTCTGGCGAAATCCTCTCCTGCAATGTTCCCTTGCCAGAATCCCTACAGCTTCCATAGCCACTGGCTTCAGGTCTCTGCTTAAAATGTTACCTCAATGAGATGGTCATTGTCTCCTGTCTGTCCAGCTACCCTGACCCTCCTGACTCATACTACTATTTCAAGGTTTATATAACTTTCCATATTATTTAGCATCAATATTGTTTGGGGTTTTGATTCTCTCTCTCTCTCTCTCTCTCTCTCTCTCTCTCTCTCTCTCTCTCTCTCTCTCTCTCTCTCTCTCTCTGTGTGTGTGTGTGTGTGTGTGTGTGTGTGTGTGTATGTGTGATTTATTTTCATTTTACTTTTTATTTTTGGACAAGGTCTCACCATGTAGCCCAAGCTATCTTGAAACTCACAACCATCTTTTGTCTCAGCCTCCCAAGTACTGGGACCATGGTATGCGCTACCACACCTGACAGTATGAACATTCTTAAGCCCTGATGTACATTAAAGTCATGTCTGCTCTAGTATGCAATGCCTTGATCATCTACAAACTGAACAGCATTTACAATGCAGAGTAGTTGAGGTGAATTGTATCTCTAACTGGAGGATTTTACATGGTTGGGTTCTTCTGTTCCAGTCCTGATTCAAGAGTTGTTAATGGGCTAAACATCTGAAACTACTAGAAAGCCCCAATGAAATGCTTTATTTTATAAAAGTTGCAATTGTCATAGTATCTCTTCACAGGAATATAACACAGACTAAGACAGAGTCATACTCACTGTACCAAATGTGACCCTTCTAATGTGGCCACTTCCTCACCTGAGCTCTAGTCCTAAAGGTCATAGAAATAGGTGTTTCCCAACCCCAAGAAGAAGATAGCTTGTCACAGCAAAATCCCAACACAGGAAACAGCCCCTGTATCATTGATGCAGGAAACATTTCTCATCTGTGGCAAATATCCTGGATGAGTTTAGGAATTGGGTCATCAAAGCCCCATTCAAGGCATGAGGTTTATAGTATACAGGAGAATGAGGAATTTCACATGTTGGGAAAACCATGGTGCAGACATAACATAATAATTCACTGGGGCAACAGCTAAGATAACAAAGTTCCGGGCATGAAGGTCACAAATATGAGATGGTGTCATCTTTGAACCAGGTGGTTTCTTAATTAAGTAAAAACTAGATAGCCAAGTCCCTGCCTTAACAATCTGGGTGTACTAGAAAAGAGAACTCTCCAGTAATCACTGAGAGAAGATTATGACAGTATCCAGTCTCAATTGTAGCTAACCAAGACGTTCTGCCATGATTAAGACATCCTCACAATTTGGACACATGGACCATGACCTCTGGCCACCATGGGAGCTCCTTTAAGCTGTGTGACATCCTTGCTTTGGCTCCTGAAAGGACACAAAATGAAGCCTCTGGCTTTCCTTCCCAGAGAATATAAGGAATTCAAACCCGGGGGAGAGAAGAGAGTGAGAAAGTTCACCAAGTCCTAGAAAATCAGGGGTAGCAGAGGACTAGTACAGAGAGCAATGGTATACTCTTCTGCCATAAGCACAGTCTGGCAGAGGAGCCCTGCAGGTAGGCGTTGTTCCTTGAACAATCTTTTCTCACATCATATGTACCATGTACTTTTCTTCTTGCTGTAACAAAACACCTAAAAGCAACAATTTATTGAGGTGGGTGGGACATATAAAGTGACAGGTCAGCCAGAGACCCCTGCTAAAATATAAAAACTGAATAAAATAAAGATATCAATTGAAGATGATACTTGGAGTCGATATCTGGCCCCTACAAGCTCACACAAGTGTGTACCCACCCACCCACATACTGACATACTCTCTCTCTCCCTCTCTCCCTCCTTCCCTCTCTCTCTCTCTCTCTCTCTCTCTCTCTCTCTCTCTCTCTCTCTCTCTCATACACACACACACACACACACACACACACACACACACACACACACACACACACAAACACACACAATCCGAGAAGATATATCCCTGTGGTTATGACACCTAGTAACTCAACGCTTGTGGTTTCACCCACACTCACGGTGCTGTTTTGTAAGCTGTGCTGGCTAGACTTCCTTTAATGGTGAACAGTGATGTGGAAGTGTAAGCCAAATCAACCCTCTCTGCCTCCAGTTGCTTTTGGTCCTGGTGCTTCATCACAGCAATAGTAACCCTGACTAAGACAGAAGTTTTATACAATGTTCATCCAAATGAGGGCTCTCCCATTCTTACTCATGCACATTTGATGAGGCTGCTGTTATCACCTTTTAGAGTCGTACCATTCCAAGTTGGTCCATCCCCTTCAGTCTGTTCTTGCTGTGTTCCTCTGCTGGCACTGCATGAGGGTGTCTCATGTCGGCATGGCACCATTAGATACTTACCATAGAGGAGTGAGGCTTGCTCAAAAGCATGCCAAGTGTCATCTTGGTGACCTCTTTTTGTTCTAAGGCAACACTTGCTATGAAATTACTAGATTGCCTTTCTTCTGGTGACCTACCTTTTTAACCAATTGATTGTATTTTGCATGAAAATCAGCACTCCTTTCCTGGTTTACTTTTGCTATCAGTATAATGCAAAAGCTATTTGCCTGAATTAGGTTGCATTTCATTAATCTTTTAAACATGAAATTGTAATGGTTCAAGGTTAATGAGATTTAAGAAGATGTGTTACCTAAATCATGACATATTTCAAAGATGTTTCTCAAAATTACTATTTTTAATATTGTGAAAGTACATATTATATTTAAAGTTTGTAAACTTGGTCAAAATTTACTTAGATTACTGAGTGTTTTTATATGTGAAGAATTTGGGCATTTAAGAATGGAATTGGGGAATTATAGATTAATGTATTCTCATTAGGGATATGACATTCATTAGGAAAGTAAACAGGTGTGAAGTACCAAGGAAATTCATGGGAAGGAGAGATTATTCTATTGACTAGGGTAGTGCACGGTTGCCTTTCATACCTAGCTCAACTGTATTGTCATCTCCTTCATTGATTCTATAGTCATTGATTCAGTTATATATATTCAAAACCTTTAATGGGTCAGACATGATATTAGATACTATGGATATAATATGGCTGCAGTGCTGTGAGTGCCATACTGGAGGTGTGCACAAAGTGCTATGGGGGTCAGGCGAGCAGATGATAGCTGCTGCCTGTCCAAGGTGATAGTGGGAAGTGTCGGGAATGTCTTATAAGTAAAGCATGCCTATGCACTCAACTTGAATGATCTGAAGGTCAAATAATGGTTGGCTAGGTAGACAGGGAAAGGCAGTTTCAAAGTCATTGTTACAGGCTATATATTTGCATTTCAAAAACAACTCCTGTTGTCTTCAAAATAATTTAAATATCTCATTTATTTTTAACAGAGTCTTTGAACTAAGACTAAACCCTGAAAGTGATTTACCTGATCATAGACATTCAAGAAAACAAATTGTTAAAATGAAATAGTCAAATGGAGATTGTGACTGACAAGGGTCCATTTCAATGCAGCCATGTCATTTAAGAGAGAAATCCATTTTACTTCTACTGATTTTCATAATTATTGATTCTTATGTTAAGCTTTAACAATTCCTAGAGGTCAGAATGTAGGAGGAGAGTGAGCTCTCCTGAGAAATGTATTATGGAAAATAAATTCTTGTTTCTCTCCTTCCCCCAGATTTGGGGATATTCACAGCCCACGAGATCATACTTGGTGCATGCACACACGTGGGGTGCACAAACAGCTCCCGAGTCATCCTGCAGACAGCACAGCTGCCTCCAGAACAAGTAGATCCCCCGACTTTGGCTGTCCTGGATTCTAGAACTATTCACATCCAGTAAGTGGAGCTCTGGTATCCTGCACCTGTTGGTTAGCATTAGAATCCCAGTGAGTTCATTCAGAAGGGCTTGTGACATCAGACTAATTGTATTGTGATTAAATGCATAGAAATGATTAGGCCAGTGGTTCTAGGAACCTCTGATTATCACTTGTCAACTTAATTTCCATTTTGTCTCTAGGCAATCACTCCAAGCTAAATGTGTATGCAACTTCTGTGTGGTTGTCAGTCAAAGAAAAATGACCACCTACTTATCTGCTGTCAACTTCTTTATAGGTGGAGGGTATTTTGCAATAATTTGTGATGACTGGAATAATATATACATATATGTGTGTATATGTGCGTATATTACTTCTTTTTTAAGATTTATTTTATTTGATATATGTGAGTCTTTGCCTCTGTGTGTGTGTGTGTGTGTGTGTGTGTGTGTGTGTGTGTGTGTACCATATATGCCAAGGAGGCTTTCAGAGGATCAAATCTCCCAAATTAGAGTTACCCAGGGTTGTGAGCCTCCATGTGGGTACCAGGAAGCAAATCCAGATTCCATAGAAGAGCACACAACCTCATTCCCCTATAGTTCTAGTCAGAGAGGAATATAACATATATATTTAGATTTTTTTTCTGATATTAGTGACTTTTGTTTATTTCTCATTATATGAGATCTAAATAGCTGAGTTAAAACAGCGCCAATTCACGCTTGCTCACTTTTGTTTCTTACTCCCAGTTTTCTCATCTATGAACAAAATGTTGACACTGAGTAAATTCTGGCATGCATTCAAGCAGAAAAGCATTACTGTTCATGCTGGTGGCATCTTTGTTCGGATTCTAAGCCCTTGTACTGGCCCTCAGTTGCCTTAAGACAAGCTGTGTTCTTCCTTATCAAAGATTCCCCATTTCACTGGGTATTTCTCGGCTGAGCTGTCTTCTGTCTGTTCCGACGTGAGACCTTCTCATCCCCTAAACACTGTAACCCTCATCTGAAGTGTCCATCATTCTTGATTCTACCTGTCCAACCCCCTTGATCTGGATGTGTAACTTCACAGGACCAAGAAGCCCAGCCCATTGCCGCAGCCCTTCTAGGTTTCCACGACTACACACTCATTCTGTGTTGGGTTGCTCGGTTTTTTAGCATGGTCCTGTTCCTCTTCCTCTCACATCCCTCAGAAGTACTCAGATACTGCATACCTCTTACGTTTTGTCTGATATCCTAAACTCAAGATAAAAAACAAGTATGCACATTTGTATATTATTAACTATTTTAAATTACAAGTAACTGGGGCTTGTGGCAACATCTCAGGAGGAACACTTACTGTGCAGTCATGAACACCTGAGTCCAAATCTCCAGAACCCACATAAAAAACCTTGGTGTGCTCACACACCCCTGTAACCCCAGCACTGATGAGACACAAGAGGGTGTTGGTTGCTTGCTGCTCAGCCAGTCTAGCTTCAGGTTCAGGGAGAGACCTTGTACAGAGGGAGTAAGACCCAGAGGGATGGAACAGGAACCCTGATGTCATTCTCTGGTCTCTGTGTGTGAGTTGCTGCATAAGTATATGCACAGATAATATACACACATGCACACACACACAGAGAGAGAGAGAGAGAGAGAGAGAGAGAGAGGAGAGAGAGAGAGAGAGAGAGAGAGAGGGAGAGGGAGAGGGAGAGAGAGAGAGAGAGGGAGAGAAAGAACAAAATAATAAGTAATTAGAAGTCAAGGACTATGTCACATTTCCCTTAAGTTTCTTAGAATAGGTATTTTATAACTGTGTGTATATTTTTAAGAAACAACCACTTTCGATCTTTCCATGTAGGTTTTTTTCAGCAGGATGCATTAAAGTTTAACCAATCCTATATGTCTCTGTTTAGACATGAATGAATGAAGTGCTGTATCTTTTGTTGATTCCCAGGTGGAAACAACCGAGGCAACTAAACGGAATTCTGGAGCACTACATATTATACACTTGGACTCCTACACATAACTCCACAGTGTGGAACATTGTCTACAACAGCACCAGAAACCTCCAGGCTTACCTGCTCCAGCACCTTTCCCCTGGGGGTCTATACCTCATCAAGCTGGGAGTAAGTCGATTCAGCTTCTATCATTTCTCTTCGTCCCAAACCAAATAAACAAACAAAATACCAAAAAGCTTCATCTGTTAGTATTTCTACTGAAACTTCCTTCCACAGCCTAAAAGTGAAGTCTTTGGTTGATTACCTACATATCTATTATTGTGTTATTTGAAGGATAAAATAACCATATGAATTAGTGGGTTTTCCTAGACCTATGTTGAGATGCTCAGAACTAATTTTTTTTGGTTATTCCTGGGACATTCTAATTGTCAAGAGCTTTTTCCAAAATACTTAGATTAATAAGGTGGTTGCCTGTGGTGCTTGTATTCATTTGAAAAACTCCTCTCAGTATGAATTTAGAGCTTGTATTTTTAAATGAAGATTTAAATGACCCCAAGATATTCTTGATTGTTATTATACTGTGATTTATATTAAACTTCTGTCTCAGAAGAGCAGTCACTTGATGAAACCCGAGAGTCAACAGTTTAGAGGTTTCCTCAGGAAGATGGTGGCATTTTTAATGCTAAATGGCACTTCTGTATATGAAGGTCTTTTAAAAGACCTTGATATTGCTGTGGAATTTGTACTCCTATTCTCTTTTGCTTTTTGATGAAATATAATCTTTTTTTAAGTTTAATAGCACATCTGAAAATAACTGAATATAAACATGAGGTTGTCCCTATTTGTTTTAAACACCCTCTTCATTTTATAGCAATACCTATATGAGGGTATTTGCTTTGATAAATGCCATAGAAAATATTCTGCTCTTGATTATGAATAAATTTACATTTATGTAGACACTGTGTACGCATTCATTTTACTTAACATGCTCGTGAATGCTCAAAATATTATACCATGAGAAAATAAACTGCATCCAACCGCTGTTAAGTGTCTGATTTGACAGCACAAAACAAGGGCGGGCAGGCAGACAATGTGAAAGCCTGTTCTGAAGGGCCCCATGTGCCTCTCTGCTCAGCACAGCATGTGGATTTGGGAAATGACAGTTCAGGTTACTTCTAGTCACATTACTAAAAAGCTAAGAAAGTGTACTAACTCGATTTTCAAAAGCTAATAGTGAAGGCCACGCTGTTTTCAAAAGAGCTGTACACATGAAAACCATGAACAGTCTCCCTTGCTTGGAAGCAACCAAGATTAAACAGAAATTCTTGAAATTTTAAGTTTTATCAGGAGGTAAGTGGCATAAAAATGTTCTGTTCCTAAGGCAATTTTTAGGATGTACTGTGCAGTCATTCAGAATCCATTTCAATATCCCATACTTTATAATTTTGTTACAGCTTGAAAACCAAGTGCAACTAACTTGGTGCTCTGTTCCCTGGAGTTTTAATTCAGGTTTTACTACTGTGTAACCCAAGGCAAGCGTGCTAAGGCACATCAGCTTTCATTTTTTTCAGGACTAAACTTACGACATTGAACTTAATGGTTTTTAATGTCTTTTTGAGAGCCCTAAATTCTGTGATGCTAAAAAGGTAACCCCAAATAATTACAATATATGTCAGGTCTTGAGTAATATTGGTGTCAGAGGTCATAACGACATGGATGTCCTTGTGGCCTAAAGATTAATAAGGAGACAAACTTGCTCATGTTCTTTTTAATTCCACTATATTTATCAGGGCAGGAAATATCCTAATGCATTTTCAGGAAGTATTTAGTGGGGTTTTTCTGTTGCTTGTTTAGTTTTTTTTAACTTAACTCAGTTAAGCAGTAAGTTAAATGAACCATGACATTTTAGGTTCATCCTGGTTAATTGAGGGATTATTGTATATTTCACAGTTTCAATATAATAACCAGCTCTCAAGGACATTAGACACATCGTGGAGAGCAGGTGTTCCACCAAGTGTAGTTGCCTGTATGTATTGTCTCAGAGTGTTGACTAAGTGCTTGGAAACAAAGCACCCTGACAGGAAAGCCCTGAGTGGCCTTTGAAACAGAGGAAGATACTCCCCGGGCACAGCACAGTAAAGCCACTCTGTGTCACTCATTTAATTTTTGCATTAGACTGGATTATAAGCCTCTGAAACAGAGAAGTTTGCGTCTTCCCAATTTCTCTGTGCAGAGCATTGACAGTACTGGCTGGAGACAAGGAACTACAAAGACAGTTCGTGCCAGAATGAGTGAATGACCACCAAACACTGTCATAAGCAGTCCGAGCTTTAAATATTTCTACATAATATCCTTTGGAAAGTCAGCATTAGAGATGTGTGCCTCCACAGACCATGCTCTTTGGTGCAGTCTAGCTGTCTAATATGGTAGTATTCATTGTGAAGTTTGGTAGGTCCCGATAAATGCAATAAATTAACTATTAGGAAAAGATGCAGGGGTCAAGGTTAATGTTTAAAAATGATAAAAAACAGGCAAGGGTCAAGTTTAGTATTTGAAAATGTTCACAGCAGTACTAGCCATTTGTCACTTGGTGAATGCTAAATAATGGAAATAGCTCGAAGTGTGTGTGTGTGTGTGTGTGTGTGTGTGTGTGTGTGTGTGTGTGTGTGTGTATGTGTGATAAGTATGTGATTGTCTGTGTACTGGGGAAGGAGTGGGTGTGTGCACATGCATGTGGAAGCCAATGGTCAATATCAGCTGTCTTCTCTCACTCTTGACTCTTTTGAAATGGAGTCTGTCTCTGTCTATGAGCTCAGAGCTCACTGATTGTCTAGACTGTCTGGGCAGCAAGCTCCCCAAAGCACTAGGGTTACAGATGCACACCACCAAGCCATCTTTCAACATGGGTGCTGGAGATCTGAACGCGGGTCCTCTTGCTTGCACGGTGGGCACTTTAGCAGATGAGTTATCTCCTGAACCCCAAGCTTAACTTCTCAGGAAAAGGTTGGTATGGATGGATAAAACAATTGTGAGGTGTTTTTTTCTTTCTTCATGCTTTTAAACACTCCCACAGCCATCTTCGTACACTTGGGCCCTGCTTGTCTGAAAACAAAATACTGGAAATATTAGAACGCTAGCTTTAGTAGTTCCTAATGGTCACTATTTCAGAGATTGTCGCTGTAATGAAATTACACATACATTTTATCAAATCACATAAATCCTCTTTAGATCAGAAGTTACCCGTCTATTGGAGACACCAACACAACATTGTGAACTTTGTTTCTGAGGGTCTGTAATCGACTAAAAGCTGTAGGAAGCAGGTTGAGGCTGCTAACTTTGCTACCTCACAGGCTTTCATGGTCCTTTCTGTTTTATGAAGATATCTTCAATCAATCCAGTTATTTATTTTCCTAAGTCAGAATTCCAATCAGTGTTAGACCAATCAGAGTTAAAGAAGAGCCCTCTAAATGCCCAATCTGAGATAAAGTTGCTGCTATTTCTGTTGTTTCAACAACTCCTTACACTCGCCGGGCGGTGGTGGCGCACGCCTTTAATCCCAGCACTCGGGAGGCAGAGCCAGGCGGATCTCTGTGAGTTCGAGGCCAGCCTGGTCTCCAAAGCGAGTTCCAGGAAAGGCGCAAAGCTACACAGAGAAACCCTGTCTCGAAAAACCAAAAAAAAAAAAAAAACAAAAACAAAAACTCCTTACACCCTGTCTCACTGGCTAGGAAGATAATCTCATGAATTCCCAAGGTGCATCTTTGTCAGGCCACCAGTTTGTAGATTTCAGATGACAGAGTCCAGGGAAAAGCCCTCCCAAAGAAGATACTGCATTTATTTTAGAAAAAAAAAAATCATCAAATTTTCAAAACAAAGTTGATTTTAGTTTACGTTCTATGTAAATAACTGCAGCAGCATGTGTCCCATAGCATAGTTTTTCTTCGGAGAGGGGTAACGAGAGAATGCTGTCACACGCATACAAATGAAAAAAAAATCACAACAACCAGAATTAAAGCCCATTGTGTGATCCGTTCAACAAGAACACGCTGCCACATGCTTTGAATCTAAGGGGGAAAGAATCTGAAAACACAAGTGAATATATTCCCTCTCTTTGAGAAATTGGGTGTTCTTCTGACACCATTTGCTTTGATGTCTCAGATACCTCACATGGCCCTGTTTCCTGGATATTTTCTGAGACTGATAGCATGTAGGTTACATGTGCATGTTTTCAATTTCTCTTTAAATGTTCCATAGCTGGTTCTTGGGTCAGCAGTGGCATACCCTGAAGCATCAGGGGTTGGCCACATGGCTAGCAGTTTCTGCTTGGTTGATGAAAGCTCCATCTTCAAGAGGACAAGAGTTTTTCTTTTACATGTAGTTGCATGTTCTACATCCAAAAATTTAGAGAAAATCAGAGAGTTTAGTTAGGTCCCTACCTAATGAAATTGTGGCCCTGGGTGATGATGGCACCAATCTGGAGCATCCTTTAGCTCATGAGGAATTATTCTGAAGACACAGGCTACCGCTGTCTTCTCTCTCTCTCTCTCTCTCTCTCTCTCTCTCTCTCTCTCTCTCTCTCTCTCTGTGTGTGTGTGTGTGTGTGTGTGTGTACACGTGTAGGTATACATATACATACACACATATATACATATACATATATATACACATATACATATACATACACACACACACACACATATATATATATATATATATATATATATATATATATATATATATATATATATATATAAAAACAGGGCCACCTGGTTAGTTTTGAAATGGATTCTCTCCCACTGGTCTGGAGTTCTCTGATTAGGCTGAGCTGCCTGATCAGCAAACCTCGGGAACCCTTCATCTCTACCTCTGCCGCACTGGGATTCCAAGCTTGAGCTACCACACCTAGCTGTCTTCTGTGGGTTCCCGAGACTGAGTGTGGATCCTTGTGTAAGCGCTTTTCCAACAGCGCTGTCTGCCCAGCCCCTCCTATAGTGTTGGTAGGAAGCAAACCTCACTGTAAGTGGTTGGCCATCGATTGTTGTTTATTATCGTAATGAAAACTCTGTGACCAGTTATAACAATGTAGGAAACAGTTCCATGCTCCAATGTGAGAAGATATTTAACTAGCCTCTCCCCTTCTTCTGCCCTGGGGGAACGGACTCCCCAGTGCCTTAAGCAGCAGAGCAGATAGCGGGCAAAGCTACCCAGGCCAAGGGGCATCAACAAAAACAATGGGGTTCACAGTTCTAGCTTCCATGAAAATGCTCTAAAAAGCTGTCTGGTTTTTGCACTGTTATACTTTCACATTTTGCTTTATTTCAGGCTTGACCTGGGTTGGATTTCATTTATGAACAATTTTTGAATGTTGTTGCCTCCATTGCAGTTAAGACTTGGAAGGCTAGTACTGAGGGAACCAAGTGTGGTTTTCTGATACTATTGTTTTATAAAATTACAATTGGTTTTATTTGCTAATGAGACAGCAATAACCCTGTGAGTGTGTCTCAATTTCCTAAAGAAATGATTGTTAAGTAACTTTGAAATCATTTACAGTTCATTATGAGAAAATCCAATGTCTTGAATGTCTGTGTTCTATTTCTGGAGTTAGATGCTATTTTCAGGATCATTTTTAGTTCTTCATCCATAATTTAAGGGGATCCACATCTTTTGACACAAAGTAACCCATTCAGCCCACTAAGCTATTAAACTTGGATAATTTTTTTGTTGGTTGACTTAGAAATATTGCTTTATTTGATTTCTCGTGATATTGAAATATGAATGTGCAGGTTATACCGAAATGAATGCTCTGATTGGTTCTTATTCTTCACCCCATAATCTATAGCCAAAAAATAAAAATAAAAAATTCTCCCCAAAGTATTAAGTCCTTTTTTTCCTGATGTGGTGTGTTCTCTCTGTGTGTGCGTGTGTTTACATGTGTGCGCACATGCATGCAAGTGTGTTTCCCTCTGAGACCTTCTGCACAGTGCCAACCTCCCCAGCAGAGCTGCTCACCCAGTCAACATGCACCCTGCATCTCGAGGCCGTGACTTAGGCTGGCTTTTCGTGTGCCCCGGTTACTTTGTACTTCCTGGAGATGAATTCTCATGAAAAGTAATCTAACGAAATGTCATACTTCGGCATGGGAGAAAACCTATCGGTGGGGGCTGAAGGGAATTGTATTTTAGCGGCGGGATCCAGAACTCCTGCTCTGACTTGTCTCTCTTCGCTGTTCATCTGAAGTTGAGGGTCAGGACTGAGGTGTGTTCCTCTGTCCCGGCTTAGGCATGCACAGGCGGTGGCTGTGCCACCAGTGAGCCCAGCCAGGCCCAACTGGAGGAGACGGTTCCAGAAGACGTGCCAGCCCCCAGAGCCCACTCCTACTCACCAGACTCCTTTAACATCTCCTGGACGGAGCCTGGGTACCCGAATGGTGAGTGAACTCTTTTAGCCTGAAGTTAAAAACATGATTAGTAAAAGTAAATTAATATTCTAAATGGCAGCTTATATGTGGTGCTTAATTTTTAATGACCGTTTTAGCACATAAAATACTGGGATAGTATCCTTGTAGTTAGGGAGAGTGAGCTTTTTCGGTTGACATGCAGTTTTGGTGGCTCAAAAGTGCTCCCTCTTGATGGCTCTTGTGAACTGCATGTCATTGTTTAGTGTGCACTAGGAGAGGGGACAGGGACAAATGGGGACTCTGGGAGAATGGAGCTGTGAGAGTGACATTGTCTTGTATGACTTTCCGTTTTCCGGCAGCCGTTAGTTCTTCCTTGGAGAAGTAAAGAGGTGGGAAGTTCATGTACACAGTGTGTTCCAAATGCTTTTTAGTTAATAAGTTTATTTTAAAAGAAGTCACTTGGAACTCATATTCCTTAGGATGCTGTTTATAAATATTTCAACATGGAGATTTAAACAATGCATGCATTAAACATGCAGACATTTATACTTAACTTAAGCTGCATTGCATTCCTTCGTGATGCATGTGTCCTTGTCCTGTTTAGAGAGTTGAGCTATCCAGTTAACCAACATGAAAACAAAGTCTCATTATAAAGACATTTTAACAGGCTTTTTAAGACACTGATTTATTTATTCAGTTATTGGAATTATCTTTAAGAGTTGTTAAACACAGAATTCTTGTTAACTCTGGCGAATAGAACAGGATAGCAAACCATGTCCCTCTTTGTGACAAGTATCAAAATGTATTAATATTACAGAAACTATTTTAAATAACTATTGCTGAAAACTGAAGTGGCCTTGGAAAGCATAACCAGAAAGAAGAAAACAAAAACCTAGTATTTTTACCAGATTGTCTCCTGTTTACCATGAATTAATTATTCTAACTATCTCCTTCTACATTAAACTTTTAGCAAATGCAATAGCTATATCTGAGGTAATAGAGAGAGTTCTGGTAATTAGAGTGAGTGATTTTCCCTGCCATTGAAACTACTCCTGTGTGGTTACAACTTTCTTGATAAAAATAAGTGATGTCTACTTTAATCCCAGCACTTCGCAGGCAGAAGCAGGCAGATCTCTGTGTGTTCGAGGCCAGCCTGGGCTACAGAGTGAGTTTCAGGAAAGGTGCAAAGCTACACAGAGAAACCCTGTGTCAAAACAAAACAAAACAAAAAGCCATGTCTATAGGATCTGATATTGAACAGCCAAAAATCTTGTCACACTTCTAACTCACCCTAGAAATCTGTCTAGTACATAGGCGTCAGTGAAATATCACTACTTTGTTCTGATTGGATGGCTGCTAATGGTTTGCATAGAATACTCCCTTCTTCCCAGCTGGTAATTGTCACTCAAACATTTTCTGTCCTGTGTGCTCCTTGCTTATCTAGAGAAATCCTTTCCTCATTTCCAGGATCTTTGCTTGTTATATTCTGTGTATATGCAGAGGGGTTTTTTACTTTTTTTTTTTTTTTTTTGGTTTTCGAAACAGGGTTTCTCTGTGTAGTTTTGGTGCTGTCCTGGATCTCGCTCTGTAGACCAGGCTAGCCTCAAACTCAAAGAGATTCACCTGGCTCTGCCTCCCAAGTGCTCCCAAGATCAAAGGCGTGAGCCACTATCGCCCAGCCCATAGTGGTTTTTAAATATACACAATAAGCAAGAAATAATGAATATTTTGCTAACACTTTTATAATAGTCTGATGTGTTTAATTACAGTAGAATTTTTCTACACTTTCAGGGTGGAGCAACTATTAAGGGGCCATAGAGGCTACTCAGGGGTAAAGATCATGTACTACTCTTCTAGAGGACCCGAGTTCGTATCTCAGCCCCAGCATTGGGCAGCTCACAGCCACCTGTAAGTCCAGCTCCAGGGGGTCTGACTCCCTCCTCTGGCTGCCAGAGGAACTTCACTCAAAGGCACATCTCATACACACACACACACACACACACACACACACACACACACACACACACACAATTAAAATCAATCTTCTAAGAGCTGTTTAAAGGACTACTTCTCATGACTCTTCTTCCCTTTCTGTAAATTTGGCATTGTTTCATGTCTGCTGTTGGGTATGTGGAGAGGCATAGTCTGGTTCCCCAAAACCATTCTGCCTGTGTCTGTTTTCAAAGGCCCTGCATTTCCCTTACATACCTGAAGAACAAACTCAGTATCTTGCAGTTTGGTGGTCAGATGACTTCTAAACTATGGTTGAACTCACCTGTATGCCACTTGTCACTTTATATTTTCATTTTCTTTTTCTCTTTTCTTTATTTTTTCTTCCTTTTTATTCTGTTTTTTTGTTCTCTGTGTTAACAGTCCTGGCTGTCCTAAAACTTGCTTTGTAGATCAGGCTGACCTTGAACTCACAGAGATAAACCTGCCTCTGCCTGCCAAGTGCTGAGATTAAAGGTGTGTGCCACCACCACCCAGCTGCATCTTCGTTTTTATGGCTTAATGTCCAGTCACACAACATGGGCAGTCTCTGAAGTAACATGACTGTCTTATGCTGGGAACTTATTGAATTCCTCAAGTGGAGATCAACATTCCTCCCCTGCCTTTCCCTGTAGAAACCTAATTCGTCCTTACAGGTTACCACAGGCATCTATGAAGCCACGTGTCCTTGAGTTGAAGCCTTCCCAAGGCTCTTGACCACGTGATCTTTTCAGGGTCTTCCTCATGACACATGTCATTTGACCTGGAATCAATATTATTTAACGGGCTTTCCAACACTCACACCAGATACAAAAACAAACAAACAAACAAAAAACAACCATGAGGCAATCATTTATTTTCTGTAGAACACCTAACAAAAATGGCATGACTCCTGTTGGTGTCCAAAATTTAGTTTATGGAATTGTGTCTTGAAGTTGTCCTTTATAGGCTTTACCTCATGCTAGTAAAGAAACACTTTGAACTGATGTTGAGTGCTGTTTCTCAAACTTGCCTAATTACTGGAACCCTGTTGGTCAAATGATTTAAGAATTTGATTCTCAGACTCCACCCCAGGGGTTTTGACAAGTGATGGTGAGGATGCTAGTCAATGTTAATCAGCTGCCCAGCTGAGATTTCTCCTTGGGACCCTGTGTTAGTTATTCTTGTCCTTAGTACAACACAATACTTCATTAAAGCAACTTGTGGAAAGAAGGCCTTATTCTGGATCACAGTACAATGGAACAGCTCTTCATAGCAGCTAACAGAGTCATGGCAATGGGAACTTGAGGCAGCTGAAGATGAATGGCCATACTCAGCTCCATTTCTCTTTTTATCTAGACTGGGACTACAGGCCATATAAGAATACCATCCACAATTAGGGTGTTTCTTCCCAACTCAATTAATCCAATCTAGATAATTTCTCACAGCCATGACCAGAGGCTACACTTATCTACATAAGTCCTCACGAGCCCTGTGGCTCCTCTTATAGGTGATTCCAGCTCCCATCATCTTAACAGTGAAAATGAGCCATTCTATCATACGGCTCTATCCCATCTGAAACTCAACATGTCCAAGTTCCTTTTTATCCTGTCCCTGTCTCTCGTCCTGCTCTTTCCTTCATATCACATTCCTCACAATTGACATCACCCACGTGTACCAGCCCAAAACCTTGGCTGTCACCCATGATCACCCTTGACTTCATTGCGCCCTCTGATTCCCCTTGCAGGAAAGTCAAATAGAATTTGAAGCATCTAGTTATATGCAAGTCAAGAAGACAGAGAGAAGGAATGTATGATGCTTGGAGGATGCAGCTCACTCTCTTCATTCAGTCAGGGCTTGGCCCATAAATAGTATCTCCCACATTCGTGGCAGATCTTCCTGTATCAATTAACCCAATTAAGAAAATCCCCTACAGGCCAATACAATCTACACAGTTCCTCAATGAGATTCTTTTCACAGGACATCAAGATTATGCCAAGTTGACAATTGAAACTAGCCAGCATACAAATCAACCCGGTTGTAATCATGTGAGCAGGAGTCTAGGGCTGTACTTGTTCCTGAAGACTTATACCGAGTACTATCAAGGAAACCAACATTATTGGAAGATCATATAATTGTTCAAATACATTCTTTTATCAATGTGGCAGAGAGATTGCTTAGGTATTGATCTTCCATACACACTGCTACAGTTCACATGGGCAAAGGGTGCTGTAAAACTGAAGTCTTATAATGGATGCACTAGTACACAGGTGAATACAATCTTTTTGTTCGTGTGTAGAAAAAAGTCTTCATTTCCTATCCCCTACTAACAGTAATAAGACTGGCTACAATCCATAACTATTTTCTAGGCACTTGGTTTAGTTTCTTTTCTATTGCTGTGATAAAAATGCTCTGTCCAAAAGTAACTTAGGGGGAAAAGGTTATACTTCCCCACCAGGGTCCATCACTGAGAAAGTTGGGAACTCTAGCAGGATCTTGAAGCAGAAACTATGGAGGAAAGCTTACCCAGGCTCATGCTTATCTAGCTTTCTTATATAGCCCAGACCACCTACCTAGGGAATGGTGTCACTCACAGTGGGCTGAGTTCATATACATCATTTGACAGTCAAAACAAGCACTCACAAAATGTGCCCATGGGCCAATCCAATCAGATTGAACCCTCAGTTAAGACCCTCTTATCTGGTGACTCCAGACTATGTCAAGTTGACAGTTAAAGCTAACTATGATCGTACTTTAATTCCCAAAATTAGCCCATGAAATTTATAATATCCCCATGTACAGATGTAGAAAATTGGATTAATAAGAATTAATTTAATTACTCAAAGTCAAGACAGCTAATTAATGAGGAAGGGGATTTGAAAAAAATCTGTAAATGCAAAAATTCATGATTTTATTCCTTACTCTGCTTCTAGCTTTTTGTAGACTTGTCCTCAGCGTAAGGTTCCAACCAGACATATGAAAATCAAGGTGAAATTTTTACTCATTCACTATTCATTTCATAAGGGCAAAATTCAAATGCTTGCATGTCTGTTGTAGTTTTC